AGATAACTCAACCTCGCCAAGAGGAAGAGTTCCAAATCAGCTCATCCCCGGCTAGAGGAAGAGTTGCCATTAGATAACTCAACCTCGCTTAGAGAAAGTACTCCATCTCAGCTCATCTCCAGCTAGAGGATGAACTTCATTAGATAACTCAACCTCGCTTAGAGAAAGTACTCCATCTCAGCTCATCTCCAGCTAGAGGATGAACTTCGATCAGACAACTCATTGCTTTATCGAGGTAGAGCTTCCATCTCAGTTCGAGGTGTAATGTAATTTGATAAGAAGAAATCCAAACCTCTAAACTTACGAGTCCAAAGTGCGATGCACGAAAAATTACGACAAGTTTGAAATGACAAAGATGAGACTGAATTCACCCAATACAAAGTATGCAGGTTCAACTCCTAAGCCTGTAGCTTAGACCGAGCTTCTCAACTCTTACTCAAACTCTTATGCATCTAGCTTAGGCCGAGCTTCTCAGCTCCTACTCCAACTCCTAAGCGCCCAGCTTAGGCCGAGCTTCTCAGCTCTTACTCCAACTCCTAAGTGCCTAGCTTAGGCAGAGTTTCTCAGCTCCTACTCCAACTCCTAAGCGCCCAACTTAGGCCGAGCTTTTCAGCTCTTGCTTCAAACTCCTAAGCGCCCAGCTCCGCTTTTGCTTCAAACTCCTAAGCGCCCAACTTAGGTCAAGCTTCTTCAAACACCAAACTTAATCAACATGGCAAGTCTAAGTTGAGTTTYTAGAAGTTGGCTCAAGTCATGACCAAAACATTGTATTTGATGTTCGACCTGCTATATATTGTTCAACGTCTGACATGTGATCTACTTCAATCTCGAAAGAAGGAARTCACCACTTAGGCAGATTTTCAAATCCAGAAAAAACTTTTCTGCCAGGTCGAATTCGGACYAACCAGAGAGGGGGCGCCAATGTTTGAGGGTTGAAAATCGTACTGCCACATGGAGGACAGAGAAATGTCTAACTTTGAAGATCTTTCCTTTGGTTGCCGACTTGAAGATCTTCCCTTTGGTGGCCGATCTGTAGTGGCCGACYTGAAGAGCTACGTGAGGGCCAACCTGAAGATCTTGCCTGAAGAGTTCCCTGAGGGCCGACCTGAAAGCCTTGCTTGATGGTCGACTTAAAGGCCTTTCCTAATGGCCGACCTGAGGCCTTCCCTAAAGGCCGATCTGAAGGTCTTCCTTGAAGATCATCCAAGGAAAGAACGACCTTCCATACTTAGTCAAATTCCAGATGACAAGAGTCTGAACTGGAATAGCTACTCCCGACAGGCCGACCTTGGTCCCGACATGCTCAACCGCTGGTTGAATACCTTGTCGGGTACCTCAACCTATAAATAAGACACTTCACTCTTAAGTCAGGTATGATATTCTAGCTCGGTCTCCATWTTGAGGTYGAACTAAACTAACTTGAGCATTGAAGTGTTTGTTCCCTTGTGTAGGTCTTTCCTCACCAAGTGGTCTTCAGCTCATTTCTGACACTTCAGCTCATCCCAGTCAGTCGACCTTAACCCTTTGAGCTGGTCATCCCYTTCCAAGGATACCCAAGCTCTTCCCACGATCGTACCTGGTGTAGGTCCAGTTCTTCTACATGGCTGACCTTGACCASGTCATACCCCGTCACATTTTTTTGCATAAACATATTCAATATGAAAAGTTCGAATGTGAAAAGTTTTGTTTATTTATTTCTATAAATTCATGTGTTTTACTTTAATTGGAATTAGTAATGTAATTAAAAAGGTGTTAGTTATTCAACTTACTCATTCCCTACATGTATTACATGTATTATATATAGAGTTCTTCTCCATCTTTTTCTATGACAATTTAACTCTCTCTTAATTTGCTTCTTTTAATTTCTTGATTTCTTCTTCTAAATTTTATAGATTTAGTAGTGTTATATTGCATAGTGTTCTAGAGCATTGAGTACCTCAAGTTATAAGAGTTGCAAAGGTAGTGTTGTTTATTACTTAAACGTTATTGAATCTTACAATGTAGTTTGGTCTGACACATCAATCAAAGACGCCTCAAGATGTTGGTGACATATTTAGTTGTAAGGGAAGCACGTGTTGGATCTATAGCTCGATTATTAGACTTGCTCTCAAGAACTCTTCAATCTTCAAAGACATCTCAAGACGTTGGTTATATATTCGAGTTGCAAGAGAAGCAYTTGTTGGATCTATATTGGGTTCCTATACTTGTGATAATACAATTTCACTTTGTAACGAAGTTAATAAAAGTATTGGTTAATCAAATATCAAGGTGAGAATTTATTTAAATGTTATTGGATTTTTTTTGTTACTATATTGCTTTTTATTTTTCTTAATTATAAAATTTTTTATTCCAAATGTTTGGTGAAAAAATAATAAATTTATTGATCATGGTAAATGAATACCTTACAAAGTTTTTAATAAAATTATTATAAATAATAAATTAATACATTATCAAAATATAATAACTTTGTGTCAGGGATCCACGAGAACCTCTCACCACTCAAAACAGACAGCAAGCATAAAGGTAAAAAACACAGAGCAAAGGAGAAGAAGAACACAGGATTTATAGTGGTTTGACAATGAGGCCYACATCCACTATTGAGAGCAGATTCTCATTCACTATTGAACTGAAGATACAAAGATGAAAGCCACACTTACAAACRGAACTTTTCAAGGTATTTGTAACAGATTTCCCCTCAGCTTATTAACTAAACACAGAGCTGATTTTATACCCAACTTTCTGTTGGTTTCAACCGTTGTAGATTTCACAGATCTTCACCTTTGAAACATGCAGAAAGTGATGACAACCTGCTCTRAMTCCGATTACTAATTTYCAGGGACATGCATGCCAGTGAGTTTAGAGCAATGATCGAATTTGCTTTGTACAACTGGCTTTGTTAGCATATCTGCGGTGTTCTCAGCGGTATGAACTTTAACGATTTCCACTACACCTTTCTCAATTTTTTCACGAATATAGTGAAATTTAACATCTATGTGTTTTGTTCTATTGTGAAACTGCTGATTCTTTGAAAGATGTATGGTGCTTTGGTTATCACAATGTATTTTTACTTGTTTTTGTTCATGCCCAAAATCTTTGAGTAAGCCTTTCAACCACACTGCCTCTTTTACCGCTTCGGATAGAGGTATGAACTCGTCTTCTGTTGTAGATAGAGCCACAACTGGTTGAAGCGTTGATTTTTAGCTAATTATGTTATCCCCAATTAGGAATAGATAACCCGAGAGAGACCTTATGTTGTCTAGATCTCCACAAAATCTGCATCCACATAGCCTTGAAGAACATAAGTTTCATCTTTAAATTTTCTATATGTTAGGCCTCTGTTTACTGTACCCTGTTATTAGTGGTTTTGTAATAAAAACAACTGTCAAATGCACTCCCGTTAAACCCAATTTTGATGATAAATTCATTAAATCTATTATTCCAGCATCTGGGGGACTGCTTGAGGCCGTATAGGGATCGTTTCAATAGACACACTAGATATTCTTTCCTTTTTTCTTGATATCCTTCAGGTTGTTTTATGAAGACTGTCTCTTCAAAATGTACATGAAGAAATGCGGTCTTGACATCTAGTTGGTCTAATTCTAAATTCCTTTGAGCTACTAGAGCCAATAAGACTCTAATTGATGTATGATTTATAACCGGGGAGAAGATTTCAGAATAATCAATTCCTTCTCTCTGTGTAAAACCTTTAGCAACCAATCTGGCCCTTGAATCTAGGTTTATGAACACCAGAGATTCCTTCTTTAAATTTGTAGATCCACTTGGTACATATTACCTTCTGACCTTTTGGTAAAGGTACCGACTTCCAAGTTTTATTCATTTCAAGCGAGACCATTTCTTCATTCATGGCAGTTATCCACTGTTCTGCATTTGAACTACTAACTGCTTCTTGGAAGTTCATGGGCTCCATATCGTTTAGTGAATGTGCTACACTTAGTACAACTGCTATTACATTTGTTTCATCATMTCTACTAGGAGGTACAATTTCCTCCTTTGACTGTCACACGCAAGTGAGTAATTGGTTAAGTCAGGTTCTTTTTCTTTTGTCTCTTCAATTTCTTGAGTTTCAAACTCTTTGTCACCTTGATTTGGAGACTCAGGATAATTTTTTTCAATAACAGTAGGAAGCTCCACCTCAATTTTTGAATTTTCTATTAAATTAGAAATATTATTTAGCTGTTGGTACATAAACATTTCATCTTCACGAAATACCACGTCTCTACTGTTTATACACCTTTTATCTGTGGGATGCCATAATCTGAAGCCTTTTACTCCTTTTGAAAATCCAACAAACATACATCTTATTGCTCTAAGCTTCAATTTCCCTTGGTTAGTATGAACAAACCCAACACATCCAAAAACTTTAAGGTTATCAAGTTTTGGTGGGTGTTGTGTCCATTCTTCTTTAGAGGTAATAAAGTTATTAGCTGTGTGTGGGCATCTATTTATTGTATATACTGCATAGGAGGCTACCTCAGCCCAAAATTTTTCTGGTAGGCTAGCATCTGTCAAGAGACACCTTACACGTTCCATTATTGTTTGATTTAATCCTTTTGCTACCCCATTTTGCTGAGGATTATATCTAACTGTTTTGTGCCTAGTTATTCCAACTTCTTTGCAGACTGAATTAAACTATTCATTAAAAACTCAAGTCCATTATCTGTTCTTAGGTACTTTACTGTTCTAGATGTACGGTTCTCTACCATTTTCTTCTATTGCTTAAAGTTTTCTAAAGCTTGGTCTTTGGTTTTTAGAAAATAGATCCAAGTTTTTCGTGAGACGTCATCAATGAAAGTTAAGAAATACCTTGAGCCGCTCAATGATTGAGATTGTGCTGGTCCCCAAATGTGACGCCTGACTAGAGATGAGGGGTACATGAATGAACTGATACCACATTCGAATGAGAAAGATCTTGAGATCATGGAAGAATGGTAAAGAAAGGCTTAAAAGAATTGATAGTCACTACCTATACCAACAAGGTGCACCTTCCTTTTAGGTTGTTACCTTAGATTAAGGGCTAGTAGTTTTAGTCCTAAGGGGTTAGTAGCTTAGTTGAGTAATCTTGGTCTACTTCTTCCCGTCGATGGCACCTCCTAAAGTTAGAAGTCGATCAAGCACGCCAGTTATTCTCGAAGATGATGCAGAGCACCATGAGGAGCGTCCTTTTCGCTAGAGCATACCTCGAGGGTTGATCTCATTAGAAGGTTGGCTAGCATCGATTGGTATGACTTGCCAAGGTGACACCCAAGCCCGAGTCGATAGTCAAGCTTTCCCTCTCTACGTCGATGAATGTTTAACAAGGAGATAGAGTTCATACATCTTACTCCAAAGAAACATGACAGTGGCCCAGTACGAAAGGAAATTTGTAGAATTGTCAAACTTTTTTTTTCGGACTTARTTGGTACTAAAGCTAAAAGGATAAATTGTTTCATCAAAGGGCTTCATGGGAAGATTAGGGGACTAGTTGCAATTATGGAACCAACCATTTACACTGCAGCTCTCGAGAGTGCCCTATTTCTTGATGAGGGTATTCCAAGGGATAACCAAGTTGACCAAGAGACAGACACCTCACATAAAGTTAAAAGGAAGTTTTCATCGTCCTCTTCAAGCCCACTTTTAGGGCCCCTCAACAACGGATACGGACACGCGACACTCCCCCATTGTATTCCTTCTGTCAGAATCAACATACTAGGCTATGTTGGAAGAAAGAGAGGAGATGCTTAAAGTGCAAGAAGATGGGCGATTACGTTAGAGAATGTTCGATGAATAGTTCAAACACCCAAATCACAACTCAAAAGACGCTTCCAGTGGCACCAGTGCAAAATCAAAAGGAAGACGTCCTTACACTCACTCAGGAAGAAGTAAAAGATGTGGATCTTATGGTAGCATGACTCTTTCATTAAGTTGTATCTCTTTTAAGCGCTTGTTGGGACTCTGCCTTTTCCTTGGGTTTGTCGTTGTAGGAGGTATTTTAGCCTGTTGAGTTTTTACTTGTGTATTTTGGTGGCTCAAGGTGAGTCATTTCCTTGTTCTTGGCTTGCTGTTGGCAATGAAGCATAGAGTTTGAAGATGTTGGTGTAGKCGTGGTTTCTTACTCAAGTGGTGGAAGTGGAAAAAGCWCTATGATGTTAATTGAACTTATCAGAGTTTGAGAATTTTGTCTAAGGTCTAAGGAAGACTTGATGACCCGCCAAAGGAATTAGATGTTGGGTCATCCCTTGTTCTCAATGTCTGTGTTGGTAAGCAAGTTAAAGTGGAAGCATTAGGTTGTTCACTATAGGTCTTCACATTGCCCAACTCAATGTTAGTTGTCAGATAATTGTGATGGTGGGAAAAGCTCTTTAGATGAAGTTCGTTAAGAGTTAAGGATCTCCTCTGAAGGTAAAAAGAGAAACGGCGACCGTCACTTGATTGGACAGCAAGTTAGCTTAGGTAGGTGAAGACACTTATACTTAGAGTGACACCTATTAAATCTCGGTTAGAGAAATCCARACCTCAAGGAGCAAAAGGTTGTCTTAGTAAAGATGTTGCAAGGAACCAACTAATAGGAATGAGAAGATATTGGTCAAGCACCAGGGATCRCTTGACTAGTCAACTTTGAAAGACGAAAGTTCTTAAGGTGGATAGTCTGTAATGCCCCAATGTTTAGAGTTGTGCAATCGGTCAACTTTCGAGGATGAAAGTTTTTAAGGTGGGTAGTCCGTAACGCCCTGCGTTCTCTGGCTCGTTTATGGACCATTTAAGCTTGCAAACTTTTTGTGCTTGACCTTGTACTATGAAACATCGGGTTGAGACATATAAATACTTTCTTCAAGATTGTCATTC